TATTCTTTATTTTAGGGTGGAATATCACAAGAGGTACTACAGTCTCATATCCTGCCCATCCCCGTCTCTCTCTCATAACCCCTTGAAGTCTTATTAAGAAGACATTGCTGGGTGCAGTGGGATATACCTGTAATCCCAGCAGCTCAGGAGGCTGAAACAGGAGGATTCCAAGTTCAAGCCAACCTCAGCAATTTAGTGAGGCCCTAAACAACTTAGGGAGACACTGTCTCAAAATAAATACATACATACATACATACATACATAAATGTATGTCTAGGGATGCAGCTTAGTAGTTAAGCACCCCTGGGTTCACTCCCAGTGCCAATAAATAAATAAACAACAGACAGACTCATTTTGGCCAGCCACGGTCAGCACCTGCACATTTCTCACCTTTCTCTGCATAAAGCTCACACAAAAATACAACTTACCCTGTCTCAAAATCTGCTGCTGGTACTTATGAAAACTTGGGCTTTCCCAGTTTTCTGTTTATCCAAAACAGCAACTCACACCTACAACTCAAATCCAATATGGGGGACAGAGAGAACAGGGTGACAAATATAGTCTTGACTTGCCAGTAAAATTAAAAGATGTTGCCTCATTTTCTAATGCAGTTTCTAATCAGCCATAAATTGGTTTATGAATCTCTGGGTTACTTTGAAGTTTCTTCCTAGTGCCTGTGCCTTAGTGTTATCTCACAATTAGCAAGCATTATATAGATGCATGGAACAAGAATGCATGCAATTCTTATATGAATACCTTAAGTGGTTTTAAAACTCTAAGGTAAGTTTAGTTGGGAAAGAAATGAAAATAAGGTTCTGGCTTTCAGTTTCACATGTGAGCAATGTTTTCTAAATTAACAGAAAAACCAAGAAATTGACTAATTTCTAATAACCAAATTTTAGGTATCACAATTTTAATCTAGGAATAGAGAGACACTATGTTTGTATCTCTCTTTGCTTTTAATCCCCACATAACTTAATACTGCAGAATAATACGTAACTATCCATTAATTATTCTCTTTGCTAATAAAAATTTTTATTAGAAAAAGTTATTTACAAGGAAATACCGTAAACAATGTTCATTGACCTATTTTTCTCTTTTTGAATCTTAAGTTTAAGCATCAAACCTATGCAATAAGCTAATTTTGTCCAACAATATACTAAAAGCATTTATTGCTGGACTCTGATGCATGCCTATAATCCCAGCTACTGAGGCAGCTGAGGCAGGAGAATCACAAGTTCAAGGCCAGCATGGGCAACTTAGGGAGGCCATTGTCTCAAAATAAAAAGAGCTGGGGATATAGCTCAGTAGTAGATTTAATCTCCAGTACCAGAAAATAAAAGATTAAAGAAAAGTTTGAGCTGAGCACCGCAGCTCAAGCCTATAATCCAAGAGACTTGGGAGGTTGAAGCAGGAGGACCAAAAGTTCAACGAAGCCAGTCTCAGCAACTTTAGAGTTTATAGAAAGCCTTTCTCAAAATAAAAAGGACTGTTGTAGCTCACTAGTGAAGTACCCCTGGGTTCAGTTCCCATTGCGGGGTGAAGGAGAATATTACTAAAATTGCGTGGTCAGTTCTTACTTTCTCAATTTTGGGTAAAATACCATGTGATCCTAAAGAAGAAATAGACAGATGTGTGCTATTTAATAACACATAAGCCTGAATTGAAAGAAGAAATGTTGATTTCATCAAAAGATAAAAAATACCTATTATCAAATAGATTTAATTTCAGCTGAAGTCTTCACAAAGTGAAGACTCTTAGTAGTAGTATTATCATTATTTTAAATGCAAAGTTTACCTAAGTATTTATTTATGAAAAACAAGTTTAACCATGTACCAAAAATTACATTAAAGCCTATGAAATATCTAAATATGTTTAAGTCACAGCATCAAAGTATTTTCACTGTCCTCAAATAAATTACCATGGAACTATTATAACTAGGTTTCAATTGTGAGTCTATACTAAAATTTTTTTAAATGTTAATCAAAAGTATTTAAACCCAAATCTTTAGTTTACTGTTCCCAAAGACAAATTTGACATTTTTAGGTGTAAATTAGAAAGTATGTAATTAATGGATTGGAATTTAAATACCATTGTCAGAGACAAGCTGCTACCTGCTGAATTTCAAGGAAAATTACTGTATATGAAATTTTTAAAAGTGAATTCATCTACTCTCTCTCTCAGCACTTTCTCAATTTTCCCATTACAATTAACAATACAACTCAGCAGTCAGGTCTTCCAGACTAATAACCTCAGAATTTATTTTTAACTCCTGACTCCTCCACAAGTACTCCCCTCCATCCAATCCAAAGTCCTGCTGGTTTCTTCATTCATACTGTCTCTGAATCTGTTCCTTTCATCCATTTTCACATTTTAATTTATACCCTCATGATTCACAATATTCATTACTATTTCCCTAAAAGGATCGTAATGTCTCTCCATGCAAATCCATCAACTCAACCTCCCAAATCACCTTCCAGTATCTGTTTAATAATCTATAGTAAAATCCAGATCTCTCTTGAAACTCAACCAAACTTTTACAGGCCCCTTTTCCTTTCTGCTAACCTTCCCATATTTCTCAAATTTCATCTCTTCTTATTTTCCTATTTAGGCCCTTTAAATCAGATTTACCACCTTGCTTGTTGCCTCTCATACAAAGCTCACCATCTCTGTGCTGTACATGCCTCCCACCTAGAGTCCTTCATACTTCTCCAACAGTTCAAGTTACAGCCTTCTTTAACACCTAAAAGCACACCTCTACAGAAGTCTTCCTTCTCCAACCATTCTCTCATCCCTTTATTCTTTGTCCTTCTGAACACAGTTCAATTTGTATTTTATAATCTTGCAATTATCATACTATTGTTTTCACATTTTTTCCCCTCATATCCATCCTTTACCATTAAACAAGTTTTTGAGGTCAAGTACTATAATTTCTTATGTAGCTCTTTTGTAGTGAACAGAAGTTCCCTTAAATACTACTAGTACCCTAACATATGCTCAATAATTCCTATTTCTTCTAAATGTCCCTAAAATAAAGGTTAACTATGCCCTTTAATTAGTCATAGTCGCCAAGTTTTTATTTTTGCCCTTTAAAAATTGCAATTGATGAAATATCTTAACCTCCAAATTTAAAAGTTACATCTATATTAAGAACTAAGGAGTCATTTTTCAAAGAAAATCCTGGAAATAAAATGAAAAGTCCCAAAATTTAACATTGTAATTTAGCATTACACATCTCTGAACTAAACATAATAAATGAATTACTTAAAATTTTTGAGTGATTTTTAAACTATAGTACAAAGATGTAAAACATACAAACACTCCAGTAACACAGAGGCTCTTAAGCAGCTATTATAAGATTTGCTTCATCACAGATGAAAATTACACCAGAATTTTAAATAATTATTTTCAAATGACCCCATGAAGTGCTTAGAAAGCATGATCCTTCCTTGAAAGATGCAAAATCAGCTTCCCTCTTCACATACCCTGCGTTCTCTACTAGCTAGTCACCAAGAGAAAAAAACCAACTTTCAAAAATAACCTCCCATCAGCTATTGGACTATGTTTTAGTCAAGTTCCATAAACCAACATGAACTGAAATCTTGAGTTCAATTAAAACTGATCATTTTATGTTGCATTAAGTATATAATCAATGTCACCTAAGAGCATACACATTTAGGTTTTGATTTTTAATCTTAGCCAGAGGCAACAAAATAGTTTATCTTTCCCTTCATCTAACCCCTTTCTCAGGGGAATAAGAAACAATATAGATATGTTTGTCAAATTCTGCAAGTATGTTTAAATAGCTGTCATTAAATACCATACAAACATCTCCACAAATAGATACAGTGACATAGGATACTTTGTATACCAAACACTTGAATAACAGATTTTCAGTACAAATCCAGGGCAAGAGTACAGTCTAGCAAGAACCCTAACACAGCCCAGATAGCCCTATTATTTACAGGATGACAGTCTTCTGCAACAGCTATGATGGAAAGAATTAAATCCATATTCTTAAGAGTTAAATCCACAGTTTTAAATATGAGGGGAGTTAATCAACAGTATTTTAAATAGTCTTAAAAAGGAATTCATTGTACTCCAGAACATTTAACAAGTAATGTATGCAAAGGCACCTCAAAATTCAACTTAAATCCCAATGAGTCAGTGACAATTATTATTTAACTCAGTTTTGGCACTGACAATACAAACCTCAATCAAAACTTGGACCCACTTCCAAGTTACCTTTTGATTAAACAAATTATATGGTGGCAGATTGGTAATGTCAAAACAGGAAGGTTAGGAGATAACACACTAAACCACTTATCCAATTGGAAACAATGCACTTAAGATGCAAATGCTGCTCGATATTTATCGACTCCCACCCGATCCTACTAAAGGGAGGGCTAAGGCTCGCCTCCAAACACGAATGCCAGTTACTGAGCAAGTCCACCTCCAGATTAAGAACAAATAATTTGTGTATCACTCAGGCAAAGAAGAAACGTTAGGAGGCTGGGACATTTAATGTCTACTTAAGTATACAAAACTATGATAACCCCTGAAACCTGAACTATCTAAAACATCCTCCCTCGTTCCGGAAGACACACGCTCCGAAAATGTACATAATGGTTTATGGATCAAGTCTTCCTCATTATTCAAAAGCATGAACAAGTAAAAACTTCCATGGCTATTTTAACGTGAAAACAGTCAAGCAACCTGACAAAGCTGACTACCAAAACCAAGGAAAGTATAAGAAATAAGTTCCAAATTGAATCATCCAAATAAAAATCACATTCTCTCAATTCAAGGTTAATGAGACCAGGGAGGAGGTATGGGAGGAGAAAGGAGTGAGCTGCCTCATCTTTGACTGAAGACAGGTTTTGCCCTTTTCCATTACTCTGATTGATCTGGAGGTCTAATATTTTAACATCCTGCTATTTCGAGGTTTCTTATTTTAAGGGTGAAGTGGAGTAGAGGTGTAAAATAAAATCGATACTCACTGCTAACTTTCATGCTGCCAAAGGCTGAAGGCTGCTGCACTGGCTTGCAGCTCTCCGCAAAGGAGGTGGTTCTGGGCCGCCCTGACATGATCTCTCTTCCCGAATCACCTTTTCCTTCCTTCCTCCTTTTCTTCCTTTTGTTTTATGTTAGGGTGTTAGGTTAATGATAAATGCAGCATTAAGTTCTCTCACAAGAAAAAGAAAAGAAAAAGAAAAAGACTTCGTTCTCCAGGCTTTTCACTTTTTTGTATAGCTATTAAAAAAAAACGAGCGATGTATTTCTCCTTCAAGACAGATCGGTACGGATATTGAACATATAGATAATCTGGGGCTGGAATGGGGGATTACAATTCTTTCACCTCCCTTTCCTGAGAGAGGAGGATGGGGTGGGGGAAATCCTTTAAAAATATATATCACGTGAAACGGGAGCAAATACTTGATTGAAAATAAGTACTTTGAATATTATATTTTCCTCGGGGATTTTTTTCCGAGTCAATGAAGAAGGGAAGCGGCGGAAGGATCACGAGTCTCACGCTTGAAGAGAGGGGGATGGGAGGAAGGGGTGGCTCCGAGATGCGACGGGAAACGCTGCGGCTCCGGCAGCGGCGGGATCCAGCGGGCTGGCGGCGGGGGCCCGGCGACCAGGAGGGCGGCGGAGTCGCGAGTCAGTCAGAGGCGGGCGGTGGCGGCGGCTCCTCTCCTCATTGCGCCAGGAGCAGCTGCAGGCGGCGGCTGGATCCAGCGGCCATGGCGGCGGCGATAGCGAAGGCAGCTCCCTTCAGACCCCAGGCAGCGGCTCCTCGACTGCTCCCCATACGCCGGGGACATGGGAACCCGGCAACCGCTTCCGTCCCTTGGGGCCCCCTCCCCCGTCCACGGCACCGGCGCGGCCGCCCTCCGCCCCTCGCCTCTGATCGGTGCTTGCTCAGGAAGTGTCTGCGCTTTGCCCCGAGCCCGGAGCCCTGTCAGCGGCTGCGGGGCCAGGTCCTCTTCGCTTCCTTCCTTCCTTCCTTTGTCACTCGGCCCGGGCGGCGGCGGCAGCGGCAGCAGCACAAACCAGCATTCGCCCGGGTCGGGGGCAGCTCTGTATGAGGAGCGCCGTCTGCGCAGCCGCCTAGCGCTTCCCCGCTCCCCCTCCCCCTTCCTACTCGTCCTCCGCCTCCTTCCTCCCCCACCCAGCCTTACACCGCCCAAAGCCCGGCCGCCCGCGTAACAGGCGTCTGGGAATAGCCGACCGAGTCCGCGCCCGCCCACTTCGGCTGGGAAGCCGAAACCCAAAGCGGAGCCAATCACCAACGTCTCTCGCTTGCGGCTCGTTCCGGAAAAAGCCGATCTGTTTGAGAAGCCAATTAGAAAGTGTCACTGGGAAACCACGCCTAATGAACGGAAAATACCGAAGGCAGCCGAACGGAAAGAAAGTGGATTCGCCTTGTTCTGTGGCTGGCTGGACGAGAAATTCGACTATAGCAAAAGTGGCCAATCAGAGTTGCCGGCCCTCAGGAAAAAGCATGAAGAGTTAAGGACCGTGAAACCTGGAGTCGCGGGTGAAACTTCATGGCTGGGCGCCGCGGCCGCCTCGCAATTGGCTGTAAAACTCCACTGGGAGTGTACCTTTCTCATTGATTGGTGAAAGGAAGAGGGCTTCCGAGGACATTTAGCCAGTCAGAACTTCTCCTCCCTCGTCAAGGTGGGGAGAAGAAGAAAGCAAAGAGAGGACTTCTATAAAGCGCCGTCTCATTGGCCTGACGCTTTGGAGATGAAGTCGGGGAAGAAGGAGGAGGAGTGAGGCCGAAACCCCCAGCTGCGGCCAATCGGCACTCACTGCCGTGCAATCGCAAGACCTAGCTGTAGTATGATTGGATTCCGGCCTTCGGCGGCGGTCCCTGGAGCAGGGAGAAGCTCGCCCGGGTCGTGGCGGACGGTCTGACGGGCTTGCCTGCGGCTGCTCCCAGCCTGTGCGGAAACCGCAGATGGGGCACCCGGGCTCTCTGCACAGCCCAGCCGAAACTGCTGCGGTCAGCGGGGCAGGGCATGGAGCACTCAAGCGAGCAGAGAAGCGAGGGGCTCTCCCCACCCACTGGAGCCCTTCCCCGGGGCGCGGCTTACTCGGCACACCCTGGGCTCTCTCAGCACGGGATCGCGCGTGCCTGCTATTTGGGGGCGTCTTCCCACAAAAGGGCCAGACGGACAAGGGGCCGCCCACGGCTGGTACGAGTTCTCAGGACCTAAAGTAGGAACAAAGCTTCCAGAGGTAGCGCCTCTGGGCAGCTGCGCCCCGCCCAGCCGCCGGGACCACTGATATAGTGAAGCCCACTCTGCCTGGTGCGCGCGGCCAGGCCTGGTCTTCTGGAAACGCCCCTGAGAGATGAGCTCATGCTCCTTGCGCGCGCTCCTTAGGCGCGACTGCCCTGCGCAAAACCGGCCCTGAAAGCAGGTGAGGGGAAATGCCGTCAGGCCGGATATCCTGAAACCTCCAAGGAAACGGAGAGTCAGAATTGCCCATAGTATCTTGAATCCTTTGGAATTAGGGTAATCTCTAAAAGTGCTATTTGTGTAGGCTTCACACATAGGCCAGTGTCCGTTGTTCTATTAGAAAAACAATTCTTTTTGTCTGCCTGAGAACAGTAAGGTATGGCAACACCAGACTAAGAAAAAGTAGAATGAACGCTTACCATCCTGACTGTAATCCAGTAGGGCTTGTAATTTCCATGTGCAGAGTCATTCCTTTCTGTTAAGATACTATCTCCAGAAAGAACATGTAAAAGTACGTACTTGATCAGATTACGGGCCATCGCTTTGAAAACTGATGATGGACTTGGTACAGAACAAAATAAGCTTTGATAGCAGACAGGAAAGGTCTTGATAACGTTTCAGACTCACATCTGTCTACAGAGGCTGGACAAGTAAAGCAAATAAATGACACTTGATTTGTGTAAAACAATGGGAAATGATAGAGAATGTGGTATATTGGAATATCCATAAAGGGAGCAGCTGCTCCACTCTAGCAGATTGTTGCCCTCAGGAATGAGGGTCCAGTATTATGAGATGTTCTGGTTTTCTTCCAAGAGAAACCATGGGGTCTTTGTGTGAGATTTCTAGATGTTTAAATGGTGGTAACTAATATTTGGAACCCTGCCGACCAAAGTAAGAACATCCCAAGGTAGATGTGGCCAACAGGCAATCAATTTGTGATCTCAAACCTAAGCATAGCTTTATATCCCAAGAGCAACAGGGGATCTTGTTCTTTGCAATTAAAAGAGAACATGAGGTCACTGGATGCTATGGGTGTGGTAAAGAATGTTAAAAGCAAAGTCATTGCTTGGCGACTTTGTCAACTGAGTGGTGCCTCTCTGCTATATGAAACACCTTTTCTGTTCCTAAATGCTATGAAGAAGAGCTTTAAATATTGCCTGCCTCTTCTTCCCGTCTCTACTCCCAATTATACCAACAGGAAAGTAAGTAACTTTAGGTTTTAAAAACAGGAATCATGATTATTATTCTATATAATACAAGTAATAATACAAAAATAGTCTAATGTTAATAGTAATTTTACAGTTGCTGCCTTCAAATATTTTGAACTGAAGCTGTTTTTAATAAACTCTGACCAAGAGTGGAAAATTTTATAGAAAAAAAAAATTTATGTTTCAGTCCTAAAATAGGACTTGAGGGAAATATTTATTTTTAAAATAAGGAACTATTGAGACTAATATTCAGTGGTTATTTCTCTGAACTTTTAAGACTTCTTTCTTTACCTTCACACATGCTGTTAACCACTTACAAATTTAAAATTTTATTTGTTGAGTTTTTGTAATATGTCAGACACTGGCGTGTGCCAGACACTGTGGCTCAGTGATAGTGCACTTGCCTCACAGGTGTGAGGGCACTGGGTTTGATCCTCAGTACCACGTTAAAATAAATAAACAAATTTTATCCATCTACAACTAAAAAATATATATACTTTAAAAAAACAGACACTGTACTTAAATACTTCATGTGTTCGATCTTATTTAAACTTACAACAATTCTATCAATTAAGTGCTATTATCACCTACAATATTGAGATGAAGAAACTGAGCCCCAGAAAGGCTTACTAACTCACCCAAGGTCCACAAACTAAAATAACAGAACTAGGATTCAGATCCCTTTTCTTAGTCTTGCTTCTTAGTCTACACTTCTGTCTTGCATACAATCCCCACTTTTTTTTGATGGATCCTACTTTCCTTATCCTATAGTCTGAACCTACACCTTATACTGTACTGTGACATGCATTATATCATTTGGTCCTCAAAACTACCCAGTAAAATAGGAAGGGAAGCTATTTTTCTGTTTTTATAAATGAGGAAACTATGTGCTAGCATAATTAAATAACTTGCTCCAAATCACTAGCCACATTTTAAAATTGAAACTAAAAGGTAGGCAGGTTTAATAATAAAGTAGTATATAGAATATGAGAGGCAGTGTATTTAGATGAATCAAGAATGAACTATTATAAATAGATCCATGAACAAACTCTTTCCAGAGTCTGATTTATTATCTTAGTTAACTGTATTAAATACAAACATGTTCTTGGGTGCTGGTCTTCCATATTAAAGAAGATATAGTCTCTGTGCTCCAGATACTTGTAGTCCAAACTATGACATGGAAAGAGTTGTTTAGTAATGAAGCCTAGGAAAAACTCCAATATCAAGGTCAAAGAGAAAATTAAGAGGAAGGGGTAATAAACTCACATTTATTGAGTGTCTGTTTATTCCTCCCCAAAACCTTGAAAGATAAGTATTATCAACCTTTTTTTTAATTAATATTAGATGAGGGTATCAGAAGTCAGATGAATTTTAGGATAAGCACACTATTCAAGGTCAAATGATTAGTAAAATGGCAGAGCTGAGATTTGAGATTTGACTCCAGTTTCTTTCTCCTAAATCACTTTGTTTTCCCTCAAATAAATACTATTGATCCCATATATGTAAATTCCATATGTGTGTGTGTGTTTGCACAAGAACACCATTAGCCTTGGTAGCATTTTGGATGATCTTATCTCCATCCTTTTCTACCTTTTGTCAATAACTTTGAGTTATATTCTACAGGAAAATAATCTAATAGGAATTGTCAGTAGCAGCTGTTAGGCACTTTTAGAGGTAATTTAGGAGGTAGTTTCAGGGCTGAGCAGGAGAATGAACTAAAAAATCAGAATACCTTTAAAAGCTCTGAAGTAGCAGCAGAATTTTGCCCCTCTAATGCCCAAAAGACTGATCATGATTAATACAAATATACCCTATGAAACAGTTAATTTATATCATCAAAATAAAGGTGATGAAATTACTTATTGACTATACTAGAAATCATCAGTAATATGTTAATTTGGTGGTAGTATCAAGAGTCATTTTAACACTTTCATCACTAATAGAAGTTAACTCATCTCAGGTAATATACTAGTGTTTGGAGCATGTAATGATCAGAACTTCCTGTACAGTAGGTACAATATTAACTTCTATTTTACTGATGAGAAAATAGGAACAAGAGAAGTAAATTGCTTAAATTCATACAGCTAGAAATTGGGTTTTCAAACCTATAACTTAACCTTGGTAATTTCTCCTTAGAAAAGCATCCAAAATAAATAAATCGAACTTCACTCAAGTCCATTTAATAAGCATTTATCCAATTCTTAAGCCACCCACAGAGAACTGCTATCTTACACCAGCCCTCCTCCTCTCTTACAGGTAAGGAGACATGTACACATGGAGCTGGCACAGGGAGAAGTGTCTCAGAGATATTTTTCCAAGTTTTAGTTAAATTAGTGGTTTCTAGAATTGGGGACATGTACACAAAGGTTGGGCAGGATAATCCTTTAAAATGTTGGAGCCATTCCTATCTTCATAGAACTAAATTATTTCCAATTGTTAATTTTCTAGTACACACAGGTGATGCCTTTCTCATTCCCTACATCAAAGGAATATTTGTTCATGATGCACAATACAACTATCCTCAGGATAGGGAACAAATCCACATCCTCAAATGGATTATGAATTTGAGATGTCCTCCTGTATTTTAAGTTATCCAAAGCATATACTTTCTGCTAATTAAGT